AGCTGGTCGATGTTGCTAACTCTCTATCCTCTCCCTTCCTCTCTGTAAAAAATCAATAAAATATTTTTTAAAAAATTAAAGTAAACCTCATGGAGCACTTTTCCAGAAGAAACCCTTGTGGGGTTCACTCCCTTTTTCCCTCCCATTTCGCGTGGTTCCCTTTGGGGGAAATTTACGTTTTCTCTTTTCAAAAGCCCAAAAGTAAATGGGGAGCCTTTTATGTCCCCCTTTTTTTAAAGTAGTAAAAAAGTTCCAAATTGTGCTAATAAAAGTCAACTCAACTTTTTGGGGAAAGAAAGTGCCTTTTATTGGCCGGCTCAAGCTCCCCGTCTAAAAAGCGGGCAGCCAAATTTCCACAATTGTAATTTAAATCCACAACCAAAACGGGGGCCTGGCGGTGCGGGTGGAGGTCTTCAGGGTTCTGCCTGATGCACTGCAGACCCGTGGAGGCTGGTGGGCGTGGAAGCAGCAAGGGGACATCCCCAGGCCCTGGTGGGGACTGGCTCCCTGGTGTGGTGGTTGGTGACTTGAACTTGGGTTTCTCCCGTTGCTTTCCCTTGCTTTTCAGTTTCTGCAGGAGCAGCTTCTAGCCCTTGGGTCCTCAGGGTGCACCCTGCTGCCCCCCCCCCCCCCCCCTCTAATTGGGTGCACAGTTTGCTTCTCGGAGTAAGACATTGCCCTCCTGTGCAGGGTGAGAGAGTGTGTGCCTTGCCCTCCCTCTACAAGGTACCCTCTCCCCTCTCTATACACACACACACACCACCATCAAAGCTGGAACCCGTGCTCTTTCAATGCCAGGTTGGGGGGAACCTCCCTTGTAGCTAGTAGTACAGGCCCCTAAGGGAATCTGAGGAGGCTTGATGGAGAAGTCTGGAGGTAAGGTGATCTGACTGCCCTTCCCCCATCACACAGCCTTTTCAATCTTCTGTCCCACATTTCGTTGCAAGATTAACACATGGCAAAGGAGCATTAAGGAGCCATGTGGCAGCTCAGGAGTGGAATTGAGACCCGCTGGTGCTGGCTTCAGTTTTCAGCACTGTTGGATGTGGTCACTGCCCTGGTCAGCAGAACAAACGCCGGGGCTTCCCGGGGTGATAGCTCCTAGGGGATTGGCGCAGGGCCCGTTGGAGGAGGTGGGTGGCTCCTGGAGCGTCTCAGTGTCCTCTCCTTTCCTTCCTTCTTCACGCAGAGACGGCCTCCCGCTCCTTCCTGTCGAGTGGCATTAGTGTTGCTCGGTGCAGCGAAGAGGGGATGCCAGTCCGCCCAGTGTCTCTGTAAGCCAAGCTGAGCTCCGAGGGGACCTTTGAAACCAGAGCAGCTGACCAGTACTCTTCTTTCAGGCTTGCTGGGGTGGCCTCAGGCCTACGGGGCAGCGAGGTGCCGTCCCAGCCCTGGGTGGTACTCCTGTCCTGCTGGTGTGTGGTGACACCTCTCTGAACTAAAGCAGCTTGTGAACTTGAGAGCTAGTGTGTCCCAAGAGGAAGCCAGCCTCCAGCTTTTTTTTTTTTTTTTCCACCCTCAGCGCAGCTGGGGCTTCTTGGCACTCCCGGGCGGAATGTCACTACCTGTTTCCAGTGAAACTCAGCCAGGGAGGCGGGCTGCAGGGAGGGCATGACAGGAGCAGGCTAGAGCTGTGTCTGGAGAGTTGACAACCTCGTGTGGAATCTTTAAAGAGGCACCACCTTCGGGGTCATCGCCCCGGTGAGGTGAGGAACCAGTCCTTCGTAAGTTGGGAGTTTTATGTTCCTCTTTGGACACTGTTGTCTTGAGCAAGTAATGAAGAGTTTGTGCTCTCAAGTTAGACTTCCTGGGTTCAAGGCCTGGATCTCACACAATCTAGCTTTTTGTTCCGTGAACAGGTTGTGCTTTGTCTTTCCTTATCTAGAGAAATGGGACGATAGTGGTGCCCACTTCCTAGGACAGTGATGGCGAACCTATGACACGCGTGTCAGAGGTGACATGCGAACTCATTTTTTTTGGTTGATTTTTCTTTGTTAAATGGCATTTAAATATATAAAATAAATATCAAAAATATAAGTCTTTGTTTTACTATGGTTGCAAATATCAAAAAATTTCTATATGTGACACGGCACCAGAGTTAAGTTAGGGTTTTTCAAAATGCTGACATGCCGAGCTCAAAAGGTTCGCCATCACTGGTCTAGGATGTTGTATTGAGTGAGTTACTAGGCCTAGTACATAGAGGTGAGGTACTCAGTGAGTGCTAGCTCTCGTCCGTATCGCCTCATGTCACCTTCAGGTGTTCAAAGGACAAAGGAGATTATGCCTTCTTGGACCTGATAGAAAGAAGCCACTGATGTAAACAGCTCACGTGTTCATTTATGTAATCCAAGCCGAATGGCAGTATCCGAGGGCTGGGATGGGAATCCTTAACCCCGCCCCTTATAAAAGGCTGCTCGGGCCACCCTGTCCCTCCCAGCCTCACTTCCCACACGAGAAGGCTTGGTGCTGAGGAGACGGCTGTCTCCGCCTGATCTGACATACATTTTCATTGGACTCCTCTTTAGATTCTGCACGCGATGATGAATTGCTTCCAGGTAGGTCTTCTGGGGGGTCTCTCCTCACTGTTTGGCTTCTCACTGGGGCTCCTATTGGTCCTTCCTTCTCCTAACCCTGCTTGGTGGGAACTGGTTGGAGTAGTGGTAGAGAGAGCAAGTGAGGATTGCCTTTTTAAACACGGTGATGTTTTTCCAGAAAGGGTGTTAAACAATGTCACCCTTCTAGGTAGGACTTGAACAAACCAAGACCTAGTATTGAAAAGTGGATTTGTTTTGTCACCAGACAAGAAAGGACCCAGCAGAGCGGAAACAAATCCTTCATGTGATTGAGAAATAAGTACCCCCCCCCTTTCTTTTTCTTTTCCTCAAACTTCTTGTGCCAGTTTTAGATATAGGGGCCTTGGGAAATATTCACATCCCTCCACTGTCCCCGTCCCCACTGAAGTCTTATTGTGCACTGGAAATTTAATGCTGGTTCCCATTTGTTTTAATTTCACTTTCATGTGAATTCCTGCCATAATGATTCTTTTTATAAAAAAACATATTTGATTTTTTACAGAGAGGGGTAGAGAGTTAGAAACATCGGTGAGAGAGAAACATCGATCAGCTGCCTCCTGCACACTCCCCACTGGGGATGTGCCCGCAACCAAGGTACATGCCCTTGACCGGAATCGAACCTGGGACCCTTGAGTCCGCAGGCTGACGCTCTATCCACTGAGCCAAACCGGTCAGGGCCCATAATGATTCTTGATCAACTTGCTCAGGGCTTGTCAGCTTAGCCACAGCATGTCTGGGTCACAGATAATAAAGCTTGTTTGGCTGGTGTGTTGTAATTTTAAAAATGCACTAGCTGCTACCAAGTATGAGGAAACCTCCCTTGTTGATAATCCTCTGATTTTTGTCCAGACCAATGGACCTAACTTCCTATGTATTCTACGGCCCTACAAATGGAAGGCTTTTGTTTTGGGTACGTTTTTTGTTTGAAGAACTTGAGGAATTTTCTAAAGAGGAAGCATTTATTAGGAGAAAACAAAAGTGCCCTCTAGAAATTCGACTTGGGCTGATGCAAATTGGTCTAAATCACCTCATCTTAATTTTACTTGTTAATGGTGCTGTGAGACGCGCCACAGAGGAAATGTCATGTGGAAAGGAGATTACATTTCTGTTTCCATAAATGGCCATTTGCTGAGGACCTGCTGGGTCAGTGTTGGCACGTACTGGGTGCAGGTGCTAATAAATGAAGGAGGTGAGTTCTTATCTCCAAGGAGCTCAGGAGTTTCTTATCTTGTGGGTATAACATTGATAAAGATGAAAATTTTAGTGTGTCCACGCAGAAAGGTTGAACAAAATCTCAGCAGCACTACAGTGGAAAGACTGATGAACACAGTAGGATTTTTGTAGTGTATTTGCATTTGAGCAAAGTTTGACTATTTTTTATGTGAAGATGTGATTATAGTCAATGTAACTGTAATTAGAACTGGAATTTTTTTAAAAAAATATATCTTATTGATTTTTCACAGGAAGGGAGAGGGACAGAGAGTTAGAAACATCGATCAGCTGCCTCCCGCACACTCCCCACTGGGTATGCGCCCACAACCAAGGCACATGCCCTTGGCTGGAATCAAACCCGGGACCCTTGAGTCCACAGGCCGACGCTCTATCCACTGAGCCAAACCGGTCAGGGCAGAACTGGAATTTGTACCATTGGTGTCCCTCCAGTTAAGCATGAGTCTAACGGTGCCTTTGAACAAATTGTATTTCTTGCAACCTTAGTTTTTCTCAGCTTTTAAAACTGATTTTGTTGTTGCTGTTGTCAAAACCTTCTTTAATGAGTAGTATCTCTTAGAGCAGTGGTTCTCAACCTTCCTAATGCCGCGACCCTTTAATGCAGTTCCTCATGTTGTGGTGACCCCCAATTTCATTGTTACAAATTGAACGTAATTAAAGCATAGTGATTAATCACAAAAACAATATGTAATTATATATGTGTTTTCTGATGGTCTTAGGCGACCCCTGTGAAAGGGTCATTCGACCCCCCAAAGGGGTTGTGACCCACAGGTTGAGAACCGCTGTCTTAGAGTCTTTATAAAAATCTACATCTCTTAATTGGTTAGTAACTACTTGAGTACTTAACTACCTTGTTTAAACTGTGTTGAACATGCCAGATGTTGGCATTTTAGCATCCATTGAACATCCCCAATATGTGTGTGTGTGTGTGTGTGTGTGTGTGTGTGTATATATGTATTTTTTTTTAATATATTTTTTATTGATTTCAGAGAGGAAGGGAGAGGGAGAGAGTGATAGAAACATCAATGATGAGAATCATTGATCAGCTGCCTCCTGCACATCCCCTACTGGGGATCGAGCCCGCAACCCAGGCATGTGTCCTTGATGGAATCTAACCTGGGACCCTTCAGCCTGCTCTAATTAGTTTGAATGAGTTGAGGTTTTAAGATGGTGTTTAGCCCTAGCCAGTTCGGCTCAGTGGATAGAGCGTTGGCCTGTGGACTGAAGGGTCCCAGGTGCCATTCTGGTCAAGGGCACATGCCCAGGTTGTGGGCTCGATCCCCAGTGGGCTTGATCCCCAGTAGAGGGCGTGCAGGAGGCAGCTGATCCATGATTCTCTCTCATCATCGATGTTTCTGTCTTTCCTCTTCCTTCCTCTCTGAAATCAATAAAAATATATTTAAAAAATAAGATGGTGTTTAGTTCTGTGGTACCATCAGAAAGGTATATCTTGGTTTTATCTCTAGCCTACCCATGGAGCCAGCCCAACGCAAACTGAAAGAGCTGTAAAAGATGGTGCCTTTTAGTCTAGTTAACCCTTCTGGCCTAAAATTTTAATGCAGTTTTACATAATAAACCTTCAGTTGTGCTGAAACCAAATGCTCGTCTAAGGGTTTGAAAAGCCTTGCTGATCTTTAAGAGAGAAGGCCACCGAAAAATGAACCAGCAAAGACTTTCTTGAGGCAAATAAATTCTATATTAGCAACCAACCTCAGCCAACATTTTGGAAAGTTTCTGTTCTGGGATTGCTGCTTAGAATTTTGGGGATGTCATAAGTCCTCTGCATGGAATTTTACTATAATTCTGAGGATTATTTGCTATGGATGGAGTCTGTGGGGAAACCCTGTTGGTTCCTAAAGCTTCACTTTCCACTTGTAGGTACAACCTTCCTCCTGCCCACCAAGTTCTGATGTCTCTTTCAGAATCTGCAAATGCTTTATAGTAGCTCAGATTTGGGGCTCTTTTTCTTGGGACTCTTTTTCTGGTGGTAAATTTCAGGAAAAATATGGATAATAACAGAGTGAGTACCCATGTATCTACCTCCACATGAAGAAATAAAATACTATGAATACAAGTGAACCTTTCCCCACCTATTCCCCTCCCCCCCAGGCAGTGACCACTGTTCTGAATTTGGTACTTATCATGTGTTTTTATAGTTTTACTGGATCTGTATGTATTCATAAACCAGATATAGTATTGTTTCTTCATGTTTTAAACAAGCTCTGCAATACTGAACAACTCAGTTTGCTTTTGTTTACATTGCAATGTTAAGATGTATCCATTAAGGTACATGAATTCATCCAACCGGCGTGGCTCATTGGTTGAGCATCAACCTATGAACCAGGAGGTTACGGTTCGATTCCTGGCCAGGGCACATGTCTGGGTTGCGGGCTCGATCCCCAGTGTGGGGCGGGCAGGAAGCAGCCGATCAATGAAATCAATATTACTCTCTGAAATCAATAATAATGTATTTTTTAAAAAGATACATGAATTCTAGGCTGTTTTGACTGCTGTATAATATTACATTTCATGAATGTGCTGCATTATATTTATTCATTTTATTGTTGATGAGCACTTGGGTTGACAGTGTCTTGTGTGTGCCCTTTTAGAGCGATGAACAGATTTGAACTCGTCTCCCTGTGCATGTGTTTAGAGGTTCTCTGTGGTCTCTACATAAAAGGGAAATGGGTGGGTCAAAGGAGCTGGGCATCTTTGCCCCTGACATACTGCCAGCTTGCTCTCCGAAGCAGTTGTGCCAATTTGCATTGCACCCAGCAGCGGTGGGGAGGTCCAGTTGCTCCACAGGCTTACAGACACGCCCGGCGTGGTCAGACTTGAGGTTTTGCCAGTCTCATGGGTGTGAAATGGTATCTTCGTGATTTAAAATGTGCACTTTCCTGTTGACAAGTGAGGCTGAACATCTTTTATATGTTTATGGCGCTGGGGTTGTTTTTAATCCAGAGGCTTTGGAGCAGTTTTCCAGGGTTTGTAAGTGAGGGTTGCAGGGGTGGTTTTGTGTGAAAATAGGGAAAAGGGTGATGAAGGGGATGATCAGGAAGACCAAAAAAAAAACAACACACACACACAAAAACAGTCAAGGACGATAGGGACAGAACAGAAGATACAGGTGGGGGATGATAAGATGAAACAGGTGAATCCTTGTAGCAAAAAGACTATTGACTAGAACAGTGGTTCTCAACCTGTGGGTCGCGACCCCTTTGGGGGTCAAACGACCCTTTCACAGCGGTCGCCTAAGACCATCGGAAAACACATGTATAATTACATATTGTTTTTGTGATTAATCACTATGCTTTAATTATGTTCAATTTGTAACAGTGAAATTGGGGGTCACCACAACATGAGGAACTGTATTAAAGGGTCGTGGCATTAGGAAGTTTGAGAACCACTGGACTAGAAGATACCGTGAGCCTTGAGAGTAAATTCCAGATACATTACTACCCTGGCCAGGCCTCTCAGTTCAAGTCTCGTGTTTTCACGTGTTGCTTCATTGAAGTTGGCGTTGGTGAAAATCATGTCTAGGGCCTTTTCCAGGGAGAACAACAGGAAGGCTGGACTTGTGGAGTTTTCCTGTTCACCCAGTTGCCTTTTGAAGTCCTGTTAGAAAGGCAGTGTGGGATTACGGTCTTCCTCCAGGACATTGTGTGTCCGTCAGGTGAGGTGGTACACTGTGCCGGAAACCAGCTCTTATCAGGATCTGATTGAGGTACTTGTGGAATCACTGTCTCAGATAT